TATGTTTACAATGGTAGTGTGCATGATTCACTTCAATTTAGCCTGAAGAAGGGAGCAGGTGCTCCTGTTAAAATATACAGCAAAGGCATTATTTAACTCTACGTTAATTGATGGAGAAATTGTTTTCATATTCAGTTTTTGTAATTGTAATCTAATTATAATTTAGATGTTACTTGGTAGTTAAGGTGGTCCTGGGTTCAAATCCTGTGCTGCACAGGTTTTTTTTCTTACAACTAAAAAACATCTCCGTTGCAAGCCTCGTAATGAGACTTGTTCATGAAGCATCTTATTATTTTGATTTCGTTTATTTAAGACATCCCCTGATTATTAGCTAAGGTGTTAGGGTCACCCTCTATAAATATAACTTCTCGTTATCTCGAAAGAGTATATTGGCACTAAGGGCTGCTCATACAAAAATGAACGGAGCTAATAAAAGGTGTAGCCGCTGTAGTCTGTTATAATAGAACAGTATATTATGTAATGATATATCATTCCAACGTTAGTGACTTACACATCAATGTATTTGACTTGTATCTTCCACAGCATGTAAAAGACGAGAATCGTAGTGATTGGTACAAACAGATGTACAAGTCTATACATAAGATGGATAAGCCAGAAGGTATGTTTATTGTTAATTGTCTTACGAGTGAAGAACCGGTCATTTTAAACTAACAGTTTCAAAAGATTAAATGCCGGCAATTTCAAAGAGCAATACGATTATCCGTTTATATCAACCAACCGATTTAATTTAAAGTTTTCGGTTTCAGATAAGCATAATTAATTTTATGTACATTCATGTAATACATTGCTCCCAAGTTTATTTTTTTCTCAATTAAGAAACAGATAATTCACTCCCGAAGGATCAAGAAGACAATTGATCTTGCCGTTCCTCTGGGTATTTCTCGTTTTGATTTCCGGTGATTCATCAATTCGTAATCTTCGATGATCATTTTACGTAATGCCTTCAGTAAAAATGTATGACTCATTGAAGTTGATCGCCAATTACTGTCAATACAACCATACAATATTTCCAATTAAATATCTATTTTTATATATCGGTGGCTTTACTTTATATATGAAATCTTAAATGTACTTTAAGATAATTGTACCAATGAGAATTAAAACAAAAATTAATGAGTAGAAGTGATGATTCATGTTGCAGTGGATTTAATTGTAATTTAATATTTTAAATCTTTAAATCTGTTTTTGTAAAGGGACAATAAGATACTAATGTTTCTCATATACTTTGACACAATTCTGTAATCAATATTTACAAATTGTTATTATCGGTAAATGACTATTATACATTTTGGTTGGTTAATAGATTTCCATGCAAAATGGGAGGATATTTGGCCAATTTTTCATATAATTATTGATCTTTGTTGTAATCACTGCCATCTGCGCTGCTCTCATCTTTATCATTATTAAAATCATTATCATTGACATCATCATCATGAGAATCATTAACATAATTATCAATAAAATAATCATCAATATTATTGTATCATCATCATCATCATCATCATCACTATCATATTATCAATAGACAGTGCTATATGTACATTTTGTATAAAATAACATTGAAAGATTTTTAGTGTCTGTAGTTTATCTCTTTATCGTCATTGTAGGCCTTGCTGCGTCACCGCTGTCATACTCATCATAGATACATTAGCAGTGAAAACTATATTTCGTAAATGATTAACATTTGAAGACATTCAACCTAGATTCGTCATCTGTTATCCCAGTCATATCACAGCCATACTTGTATATGTTTTACTAACAGCAATAGCAATAATTTGTAGATGATAACATTTGAAGAATTTCAGTGCCTGTCACCATAGTTTATCTTATCATCTCATTTCTCTGTTTCACCTACAGATGAAGACAATAAGTACATGAGATTTTTAAGAGGTTAATAATCAATTAGCTTATAAACTACATTTGTAATCCACAAATGTTGTGATGCATGTAGAAAGCATGACAAAGTACCAATACCTCAGTTTTATTGCATGTTAATCACTCTGGCCTTGGCTTTGTACCCAGTCATTCTTATGGCATTATTTTTTTGACCTATTAGTATTGTGATCATTCATTATTGTAGCCATCGATTAATTGATTGATTATCCATATGCAGATCAATCAGTCTATCAATCAATCAATCTATCATTCTGTGTCAGTAAATCAACCACTCAATCCACTAGACTAATCAATAATATTGTAACCATTTCATTTTATAACACATTTATTTTCCAACAATTAGATATGAATACAATACATCATTATATTCACCATTAATATTTACAATTAATCATTAAATTTACCATTAAAATCGTAATTATTGTAATCACTGTAATCATTCATTATTTTTGACCATTAAAATCATGCATTATTGTAATCAGTAAAACCCTTTATTAATGTGTTCATTACTGTAATTGATCAATCACTTTTGTGATCGATATAATCATCCATTATAATATATTTTTTGATCATTTATTATTGTGATCATTTATGACATTGATCTTTTTCTTTTTTGATCGTCATTTTAACCATTCATTATTGTGACCAGGATTTTTGTGTTGTGTCATTTTGTGACCATTAATGAACCTTACTAGAGGGTCAGCTAAAGTTAACTGGGCTAAGGGTATGTTCACACACACGGCGTAAGGCTGGCTTAGCATGGCATAGCGTACGCCTTTGTGTGTGAACTAGGCAGTGGCGTTGTTAAAGCCACTCACTACGCCACGTCCTTTGCGTTATTAACGCTACACGCAGACCCCAGATTAGCTAACGCCACCGAGCTAACGCCAGTGATGCTTGAATGATTTTACCTCATTTCAAGAGATTGACCAATCACGATTGCAATATATTAGCTACTTTGGTCTCCTTCCTGTGCTCTCTATAAATGAAATGGTAAAGGGGTTCTTTTTCTATTGCATTTTACTTAGTTGTAATGTATATGATTTGTTGATTGTGTTTTGTAAGATATTTTAACCTATTTAGACTGTCTATTAAAACCTGCAACACCAACAATGCTAGCTGAAAAATCAAAGCAAAATTGTTCATTTAAAATACAATAATGATATAAGTTCACTTCGAACAATTCACAGATTTAAAAGTTTTACTGATGCACTGTTAATTTTACTACAGTTTAAGAACTCGTACATTATTTAAAACTATTCCCCCATAGGCCTATTACTACTAGTTTAACACCAGCGTTAATATAGCGAACGCCGTCTGTGTGAACACTTTGGAATTTTAATCCGTGAATTAGCGTACACCTGGCGTAAGCTACGCCAGTCTTACGCCGTGTGTGTGAACATAGCCTAAGAACATGCTTACGTCCTCTAAACACATGTGGTGTCCCACATGTGCACGTGTTTATGTATATTTCACTGTCATTTTGTGGGAACTCGGAACAATATCAAAGGGCTGAGGCGGGCCTTGCGGAAGGTCCATTATGGCCATAATTTTTTTTTAACCAAATAATGTCATCTACCAGTAAACACTGTGAATGTTATTCATATATCCCAGTACAATGCTAACTGCATGCTTTTATACAATCCAGGTTTACATGTTATTGAAGCATTTTATCATAATAATGTTCTTTTGTCTACAAGTGAAGAATTGATAATAATAATCTTTTTTTAAAATTACACTCTGAAATGTAAGATACATTGGAATATTAAACAAAAAAAAGTATGTAGTTGAGGTGAATCCAAGGCCTCTTTATAATACTTATTTATGTTGAGAATGGGCCTGTACAAATCTGCACCTATTATACGCACAATGTATGTAATACACCATTTCTGGAGGAAGAATATATTCTAGCAGACATTAATGCACTTTCAATACATATTTTGGTGGTGTACTTGTGAACTATATTCTAATCATAATATCTTTTATTTTATTTTTTACCTTTATTGTGTTAAATAAAAAACTAAAGCCAATTACTATCTTTCATTGCAGAGTGTAACCCGTATAACCCTACGTATAGTTTCCCTGATGATAGAAAGAGTGAAGACGGTAAGTTTATTTAAGTTTTGGCGATGGTCTTTAAAATCGCCATGGTTTGGTATGACATTTTAACACTTGCTATACATAATCAAGATGATCTAACAATTCTAACCCCACAAGTGCATATTAGTTTAGTTGCTTACTGCCATCTGTGTTAAAATCTAAACAGTAATCGTTTATTGTTTATGTTAAAAGATGTGTTTAAAGTATATGAATAAAAGAAAAATACAATTTAAGTAGGTAACTTAGTTAATGTGGGAAGAAAATATTTTCTTGGTGGTACACCACGTAGAAACAGTAGAACACCTTCTTTGGGACACCCCTATTAAAACTACATTTTTTTGGGCACTAAATGAGGGAAAGTGTATCTTTTAACACCAACCCCCTATTCTGGGGACACGCCTTAATAGGGGGTTGTACTATAGTTTTGTAAATAATTTGTTTTTTGTTGAAAGTGTCTATATTTCAAAACGTTGAGATACTCTAAAACAAAAATAACGGTTATTTTTTAGAACTGTATACAGGGTGTTCTAGAAGGATTTATTATTGTTTCTTACCATTCCAACCTTGAACAATATATCTTGTTGCTAAAACTTTCAATTGAAATTTTCAAAATTAATTAGATTTACAAAGTAACAATTTGAAAATTAAATTTTTTCCATGTTTTTTGTTCAGTGCATAGAGTGTCATAGTATTTAACAGTAGTACAATAGCTTGGTAATGTCTAGATATGGACTAATTAAAAGTGTTTGCCGCCCTCAATATCTAATTTAGACAGTGACGTTTCAATGTTGAATGGTCGAATGCAGTCATGAGGTTGGTAATGTGTAAATGTAATTAATCAGAATGCTGCCCCCATCATTTAGATATACATATTGTGTAGCAGCCCCACATACAGTATGTTAATTCATTTGTCTCAAAATATAAACATGCTGAGCTATCTATGTTGTAACTGGCTGTTGCAATTTAGAGATTATCTATTTAACATTACCTATGCTGGAAAATCACATACACACCTGGGGCTGCCAAAAATGATTGTTAAAATGATATTAATGAAATAATATTATGAATGCTCAAATATTTAGAATGTTAATATTATTAATAAATTGATAAGGAGAGGAATTATAATGATAAAATTATATTTAAAATGATATTCATATTTATTTATTTTCATCCATTCATCTACCAAACAAATGTCGAAAACAAAGAGGCAGCCTGAATACAGATAATGATATAAAGTATATACTGATAATAACTGTGACTATAGTAATGTTTGTATTGTTAACTAATTAATAATGATGATGATTATAGCAGATATAGTACAGTGTTAATAATAAGTAAGTTTTAAATAATAATTTCTAAGAGTAAAAATGATATGTGTTCATTCACCCTTATGATGCCCTAAATCGTGTCTTCTTTTTTTTTAAAATTATACAAGTAAACAAGCTAAAAAAAACAGTATGCTTTTTTTGCTATAACATTTAACAAGAATTTGGTGTTATTAAAATCAATATGTGGATATAGCTTAGGGGACAGGCAGAAGGTACTTAACACTGTACTTATAAAAGTGTAGTCGATCCAACTAAATATAAAATATCAATCCTTATAATACAAGGAAGTGACAGGTATTGCGAACATCTACCCATATAGATGCTCTAAGACATGTCTAATGTAAGAAAACAAGCTAAAAATGACAGTATGCCTAAAGTTTTTCACGTTAAAATTAACAATAATTTTGAGCACTATGACAGTAAATATATGGGTGTAGCTGAGAGACTGAGAGCTGAGGGTGAAGATAATTAACACATACTGAATGATAATGTAGTCACCCCATTTAAGAACAGTAATAGATATTAAGGATGATAATAAAAATGAGACACATTCTGCATTTATTCACCCATATGGAGGCTCAAAGTTAAACACAAGCTAGAGAGTGAAGGATAAAATTTAACAATTCTGAGCACTAATAACAACTCACCGACTAAATAATAGATATTAAGGATGATTATATTCTACATGGATGCTCTAAGGAACGGTATTTTTAATAGTATGCGTGTTATATAACAAGCTATAAAATGAAGTACTGTATAACATTTAATAATTGTGAGTGCTGTTAACAGATCATTGATATGTGGGGGTAGCTGGGGTAGAAGAAGACAATACTTACTGATGATTATGTAGTCACTCCAACTCAGGGGTGGCGCCAGGATTTACCCGACAGGAGGCTGACTCCCCAATGAGAATGTAATTGGGCATGGTCGGGTGTCTCTCAAAATCACCCAGAATTGATCTAGGGGATGCCCCTGCCCCCTGAAAAGTATGACAATTTATGAGTTTCAAATGCTTATATTTAAAAGATTTTAGAGTCTACTAGTATGTAAATAATTGGTTTTTTTTTTTTTCGACGAAGTGTGTTTTTCTCCCGACAGAGGAAGCTCTCCCCGATAGCCCCTCCCTCCCCCCCACTGGTACTGGTGCTACCCCTGCTCCAACTAAATAATAGATATTAATTACAAAGATGTGACACGTTCTGCTTTCATCCACCTACACTGATGCACTAATGCAAGTCTATTTTTAATAGTATGCGAGTAAACAAGCTAAAAAAATGAAGTTATAAAGTTTAACAATTGTTAGCGCTTAGCTCAGTGATACAGTACTAACACTAAATTATAATAAATGTAATCACTCGAAACCAATGTCAATCATCACTCTTGCATATTGCCTAACTTTTGTGAAATTTTGTTTTTGCTGCACTAACAAACTATGGATGCAGAAATTGTACAGACACTTGATTTATTTATTCCGGCGGGAATAACATGCACTTCTACTACTTCCGCTAATACTACTACTAATCAACATTCTTCTCCTGATGGAGGTGAGACTAACAATATTTTATTTTTAATATTATTATTATTATTATTATTATTATTATTATTATTATTATTATTCGTTTCAATTCAATTCAAATAAACATTTATTTCTTACTTTGAAATCGAATCTAACAAACATTCGTACAATAGAAACCCAAAGGGTTGAGTTGGAGTATCAATTTACAATTCAGTGGTATTTTAAAAATCTGGAAAAACATTTAACTATCAAGAATATACAGTGGAAAACATAAAAAATATGATTAAAAACATAAAAAAAGAACAATAATTACCAACATATTAAAATAATAAAAAGAGCAAGAAAAACAGTACAATTAATTTACAGTTTACTCACATATAAAAAAAAATTAAAACAATCTAGAAAATACAGTATAGAAAACATCAAAAATATGATTTTAAAAAATAGACAAAAAGAAAAGGTAGTTTTAATTTGATTTGTTTTTGTGTTATGATTAAACTAGTCCGTCTCTGGCACAAATGTCTGCCAATTTGTACTAGCATAAAACAAAGTTTTAAAGACGGAATTTTTCATGTTTTTCGGACAAATTATTGATACTTAATATACAAATATTTGTAATTTTAAATTTAATGAAATATTTGTTTAAATTTGTTATATACGCTCAGAAATATATTTTCATAGTTATTGATGTCTTGTTTCCCACACATCTTTTGTACTCTTTTCTGTATTCATTTTTGTGAATAAATTTGAAATTGAATTGAAATTCTTTTATTGTCTATGGAAACTCCAGATGGGAAATGTATTGCAATGTTGAACAAAAAAAAAAAAAAAAAAAAAAATATATATATAACAGCTCCTAACTAACTCATAGGGTGAAAAATCCTTTGTCTATATTTCTCCTTAACGTCGTTCAAATTTCCCCTTAGTGGCAGTATTTTCGCCTTAAGGTATTATTTCTAACCCCTTCCATTGTTATCGTTTCCCCCTATGGTAGTATGTAGTCATATATATACATATATATATATATAAATTTCTTCTACATCTTCTTTATTTCATTACAAATATCAAGTTACAGATTGGTGAAAAACTACGACAAGCAAAGCTTCCAACAGCTTAAATAAATTAAATATATAGAGTATATTTATAACATGTGGAAAAGACAAATGCGTAAATAATTCCTAAATTAATTATTAACTGAAAACAGCTTACTTTTAAAGCTGGTACATCAATCAATTTATTCCATTCTTTTTTCATTACAAAAATCAAGTCACAAAACAACTTAAATAAATTAAATATATAACAGTATGTGTATAAAAGACAAATAAAAAAATAATTCTTAAATTAATTATTAACTGAAAACAGCTTACTTTTAAAGCTGGTGTATAACATTCAACATACATAATACACATAATATCTTTGTTCTTGTTTTTGGTATTGAGATTTTATTGTTTCTTCAAATCTATGACTATCAATGTAGCATTTATGTATGACCTTAAGAGACAATATATCTCTCATTTTCGTGATTGAATTAATATTCATTAAAAAAGAAAAAATTGCCCATCCATCTTCTTATTTAATGCACTTTAATATTTCTTATAATAATGCAACTGATCATCTTATGCATCTGTTTATAATGTAGAATATTTGTGATTAACCAAGTTCTGTTTAATATGGTAATTTATGCTAATTTTTTACCAGGAGAAGTTGTAATGCGTCGTACGACGAGAACCACACCATCGGCAAGAGCTGACTCACAAAAAAAGAGGTACTCTGATGGTATATACCTACAATATCTCTCTAAGAAAGGGTAACAGTTTGACTTTTTCCCCCACCCTCCTTGAAGCTTGCTGTATCCGTGGCACTGGTGGCTTGTATTGGCTTCAGCGATTAAAATGGTAGCGTGGAGACAGGCTTACAAACTTGTTATTGTTATCACAAAATCTTTTTCGATGGAAAGTAGGCTGAATGAAATGATCTTGTTTTTACAACCCATATATCTGTATTCTATGAAAGCAATATAAATCATCCAGGTCTTGATTTATTCCGTTTGATATTCGTTTTCGTAAATGTTCAATCAGAGCCGACATTTAATCTTTCTGTGTCGCAATTTAATCTTGTAAAACTATATTTCATAACACTTAGCCATACTTTTAAAAGAAAATAATACCAAAATACAAGGAGGTTTTTCTGATGGACCAGATATATAACTTGAGTTTGAAGCCTGCCCTCACAGTTTGCCATATGTCATTCCTGTTCTTTGTCGGAAAAGCTCATCCAGTGGTAATTTGTGGATAGTAAAATTACTTTTTTTTTTGCTTAAGTACTTTATGGAAATTTTAATTCTAGGAATTATTCATACTTTCTTTTTTATTTATGGATAGTAAAATTACTTTTTTTTTTGCTTAAGTACTTTATGGAAATTTTAATTCCAGGAATTATTCATACTTTCTTTTTAATTGGTACGAAATCAGGTCATACAAAATATTACCCCTGTGCTAAAGCAAATGTATTGGCTTTCTGTTCCTCCATACATCTCCTCCCCAAATGTCATTTCATGAAAACCAATGTTTTTCATGTGTCTTGGTTGCCTTCGGAATGTCTTACCTTCTGTCAGCAGATAGGCAACTTCAATCAGAGCATTCAGATTTCTATTAAAAACACAGCTTTTTTAGCATTAGTTTTCTTAGTTTCCGGCATTTTTACTTTTTTGTAAAGTACATATTTTTAATACCAATAAAACAAGAATACAGTAACTCAAAAAACAGACATTTTGAGACTCAACAATTTGACTCAATCTATTTGATATTTTTAAGAATAATGCATATTAACATTATTATTAAACACCATTTTAATAAGTAAATATTCCTACATATTGATATTTATAAATATAATTAGATCTGGTCTGAATAATTATTTTAAGTTCTTTTAATTTACTGTAAAAATACATATATATCAAGTTGTTAATTTATCAAATGCAGTGCATAATATGTATGTATACAGTATAATGAAAAATATGAGGTTATTAGAAACTGAGAAAATAATAACATATTTTACTTTAGTGAAGTGAATTTAATAAGTAATGGTGACAAAACATATTACTGCGTATTTGATTATTAGATTTGAATCCTTGCTTACACAAAAATGTCATGGTCTTGAATGACTCCACAAAAGGCTTTTCAAACAGAATTTGAATTCACTGTTATTTTATTAATAATCACAAGCAGTATGTTCAGGTAGGCACAGTTTCACAGCTTGATAAAGCTGACATATGTAAATATAATACCATTATGTTTTGAAAAATGCATGCAACTAGATGCGTACAACATTCAGGTACTGATAATTTTTTTTAAAATTTGTTTTGCAATTTAGCAGTTAACATTATTTAATTTTACTTTGGTTCTTTAATACTAAATGCAAGCGCGGTGGTCTAGTGGTATGACACTAGGCTAGTTATCTGGAGTTTGTGGGTTCGATTTGGGAACCTACTGAGTATTCAGTATGCTACATGTCAGGTAGGCTAAAGCATCACTCCTGTGTTATCTATATTTACTTAATTTATTTGCATTCAATGAAAAGAATTTGAACAGGAATATATTTTGCTGATATAATACTTTGTATATGTTGACCCATAAAGCTTGCAAGTTTAAGGTATTCTAAGCAAATCTCAGTAAATCATTGGAAACATGATTGTTTTAATCTTCATACTATCTGAAGCTGATATCAATATTCAAATCCTTATGAGTAAATCAGTGTTTTAGGATTTTCCAAATCGATGTATAGTATCTCTTTAAATTAAGCTGATTCTTTAACATCATAAAAATAAGGTATCTTGTTTGCATGGCAAAGTAATAAAGTGTTACTAGCACTACACCACATAGATAGATCTGTCATTCCCTGATGACGATTGAAGCAACTCAAACAAAACAGGGAGACATTCTAGACAAAAACAACAGTTCTTTTCAGAACTGCCTTTTTTTTGTGGTAATATTTGGAGAATTATGTAGTGCATAATAAGTGGTCTCTATGCACTGGTGTGACGCAAGCATTCAACACGTAAATATAGAAATGGCAAGTAAACTATGAACTTCTAATAATGTTAATAATAAACAACAATTCTTTTTGTGAATACTGTACTATAAACAGGGGAAATTACTTGATCAGTTAATAATATTATTGAAAATCCGGATTCTTGGAAGTACAGAATGTTGTGATTACCAACATTTCAATAATTAATTTGCATTGATGATTCACAGAATGGTATTGGTTTTATGCAATTTGAGGAACATTTGAATTCAATGGTGTTTTGTGTCGGAAGATTTACTAGGAATGATGATTTATGTTTTTTTCCTTACCTTACATATTATGGTACTGAACGTACACGTATGGGAGTCATGCAATATAGTAATTACTAGTACTGAATAGTGTTGAAATATATTTGATTTAGCTGTTGCATGTTTACTGTACATGGCAAACAGTTTATGTATATAGCTCCAATACAAAATAAGTCATATAAAATGTTGATGTTTGATGACCATATGAAAATAATTATGATTCAGGTTGGGACTGACAGGTCCAGGGCCAATACAAGTATTCTACTAGAATCAGTTGGCTTTACTCTCTCCTAGTTTTTAAGCTGCCACTGGATGCTAATGCTATATTGTTCCCCATCTTCTTCAATCAAATCATATCTGTTTGTATTAAGATGAAGTTGTATATTCGTATCTGAAGTATTTAAAACTTAAGATGACAATCAATCAGTCAGTTTGTCACATAATCAGTCAATAAATCAGCAAAGCTATCAATCAAAAATCAATCCATCAATCAAAAAACATGCAATGCACCAGTAAACTTGTACAGTATGTCTTCTATAGTCTTTGTGTTAAATGATCAGGTGTATATTCCAAAATATTTAGAGAAATAAAGATGACAGTCAAATTTTTTTTTCGGTCAAACTATCAACCATTAGTTACTGTATCATTCAATAAAATTAATTATAATTGGCGAAATGCAAATAAGCTCCTAAAAATGATTGATTAATGAATTATTCAATTAAACAATTGGTGGAAGGTAAAAGCTGCATAGCAAAACAATTAACATTGCATAGGCACAGACTTCAATAGATATTGCTCTACATTTTTTGTAAATATTATTGGAATGATTTTTATATTTGGTTTTATTTGGTAGCTTTAAAATTTTTTTGTTGGAACAATGGTGATTGTAGTGTTCTTCTGTGCTTGTTAGTTTTATTTTTTATTTTTAGTTAATTCTAGGATATATTTGATTACTAGTATATTCTTTTTAGTTGCTTTACTTATAAATTTACTTCTGCGGTAAAATTTTATAACTGTTACCATGATTATTGTTGTTGTCATTGTTACTGGGTTTATAGTGAGTCAATTGTTTAGGTGAAACATTTTGGAATACTACAAATAATACAAAATAAAGTTAATAGATAATTTGCATGGGCAGTGTTATTGAAAGCCAGACACCAGAGGAAAACATTGTTTGATATGTTGTAGAACTTATTTTTTTAAGACACAAGAAGTTGGGAACAAGTGAGATGCAGATTTTTGAATATTTACATATTGGGTGGAAAGGGGTGCTTTTTCCACCTCCCCCCCCCCACCCCAATTTTTAAATACTGTATTCAAAAATTTGTATCTCATTAACTGTTTAAAAGTTTTTCGTCAAACACACTTTTTGTGTCTTAGAAAAATCGATTGTGACAACATATCAAACATATTTTTTCACTCTAGAGCCTGGCTAAAATCCCCTAGCTTCTGTTATTGTTAAAGCTCCCTCTAGCCGTCTGCGCATGTTCTATCATGATTGCAATTTTTTTGTTGGCCTTCTATCACCCGAACTGAGAATTAAAATTCATTACCTGACCATTCTGTGCCTGTCAAAATACTGTATATCCTGCACCATTTATTCCTATTTATTAGTTGTGATAAATATTTCATTTATTACCTGGTACACAGCTTCTGATTGTCTATGTATATATGTTATATTGTCAATATCAAATGCAAAGACCTCAATCACCAAGCGCATATAAGCTTTTTTGCATGAGATGCTATATACAAATATAACTCTTATTACAGTATTATTATTTTAAGATTTTTTTTTTTAACTTCGTGTATTTTTTATCTTACGTAGTAATGTGCAAGTAGATGCAAGAAACACAATTGACCGGTACCAGCAACAACCAGGAAGTATACTCAACTACGTGCCGGGGAAATCGTCGTTGTCTGAAAAAGAGCGAAAGCATGTAAGTTTAAAGGTATATTTTAGCAACATCATAGGTACATTAATAATAATAATAATTAATATAATAATAATAATAATAATACTAATCATTCAATCAGTCAATCAACTTTTATTTCTCCATAACAAATACAAAAAGGAAAGTATAAATAATATAAAAAACTGTATAAAGTAATAAAACTTGCTCAATACAAAAGTGTATTCCACTTTGAAAACATAGTCGAGTAATTTAATACTGAATTAACAACACCTTTAACCAGAATTTTTTTAAAAGCATATATCCTTTTCATTAACGAATAAACTGATTTTCTTACAAATTCGTAAAATGAAAGTAGCCCGCACGTAACAAACATTGCACTTGCAATTATAATAATAGTAAAAGGATTGAACTTAGGAAAAGTTTGGTTTAATATCTAAGTTATGCTTCATCAAGGCTGTATATGAACCTTATTTTTAAGGGATACAATTCCACTATACAACAATATATGAAATGCAAAGATATCAAAATATAAATTTTATTTATAGGATTCATAACATCTTCCTAAAAATTATTCTTTTTTCTGTTTGCAGTCTGAAGGACAACATTTCAATCCACCTCCAGAAGAAACACAACCAAAGTAAGACTTGTTTTAAAACATGGGATTAACACATCTATAAAATGCCTATATGAATATCAAAATGAGCAGGCATTCATCTTTGTATATCTATTGGTTGAAAACATTTGTATCTTTTCATTTCTAATTGCCTATACACTTGTATCTATATATATTATTGAAAATATACTGTTTGTGGTAAAACCAAAACAAAAAAAATTAGTTTATCACCCAAAACGCTTTTGGAAAAGTTATATGAGCAAGGGTTTTTTTTTAAATTCTTATTTGAGGCCAAAAATGTAACTGTGGCATCATTATTTTGTTTTTTATTTTGTTACTTTCAGCAAATACAAACATTAAAATACAAAATGAAAGAGGAGTGCTGTGTAGAGTCAAAAGCGTTTAAAAACTACTATCGCCAAAGGGCATGCCTCTCCAACTCCTACTTCCATACATAATAAAAACATATAGAAAACATATAGGTATTCTAAAATTGCGCACACTTAAATATTTTAATTATGCATTAAAAGAATCTAATAAATACTCAACCCAAATTCTCAAACCTGGCCCAAAAATGAATACCCGTAAATCCAAAATGGCCAATTATTTATTTTACAATTAAATATGTTAAAAGTTATGTTACATAGTATAAATTGTTGCTGCAGTACTGTATATTTCAACTTAATCAGAAGAAGAGCAAGCTATAACTCTCATTACAGACAAACAATAACCAGCTATAATGATTTCATGTCATGATAATGTTACAATAACATAGTTCGGCTTTCAAAACTTTTTGTAGAACCATAAATCTATAACATAATTTCTGACTAAATAACACTGCAAATGTTGCTGGAACATTGTGCTGTTATTTTCTAACATAACCTAACCACAGCATCCACAATGTTATCATAACATTTTGTGTTTGCTGAGTAAACTGTCGGCATAGAGTATAGGAAAACCCCTGTTTTTTGGGGGTTTTTAAAATTAAATTTAAACAGACATTACTCAAAACAATATAATTCCCCTATCTGAATCAAAAGATTATTAAGTAAAACAATATTTTTTTTATGATTCAGAAAAATAACAAAACTTTTATTTACTTATTAATACTATCTTTGCCTATAGTTTTCTATCTAAAAGCCAAACAGCAAGGAAACTTTATGCTCCACCACCGAATGCGTACACCGCTCCACAGCAGCAGACGTCCCCTAAACCAACATCTACGCCACTGGCGTCCATAGACCACGGAGCTTATAAACAGTTGCTGCAAGGCGGATATATACCTGGAAAAGGACTGAGGAAAACATCAGCAGGTAGGCAAGCCAATATTGACATTTCAATTCTTTGATTTCTGAATAGATGGAATTTTGTAGTGCTTTTTATTGAGATCTCAGATAAGCTCTGTGTGCACAACGTAGGCGTACACAATAAACTATTGATGTGTTTTTTAATTTCACTACTATATGCAGTATAAATCAAAACAGGTCGTCATACATCTTACTTAAGTTTGCACGCAAAATGTTTCCCAGTCTGTAGTTCTGGCAATTAAGTCCTCAACATTTTTTAGTCCTTTTTAAACTGTTGTAAGCTTAAGGCAACCAAGTTTTAGTGTGTATTTTTATACTTCCTTATCAAATGTAAGTTAGAATATTAAATGTAGATGCATTCATTCTTTGGAAATACTCTGCTGATCTTGACATCAATTAGAAAACTACTTAATCAGTTGAGGTAGCGGTAGTTGTCTGTGTCAATATAAGTATTTTTAAAGTTTAAATTTTTGGTGTTATTTTAATGTTGTAACACTTAAATTTTCTTCGATTTTTGTGTTAGAGTACTGTGTGTGTTCATAATTCTTATGATACATGTTGTTTACTTGTTGCTTTGTCCACATTTATTTTTCTGTGTTGATGTGACATGATTTTCACTAACCTTATATTAAAACCACTAATAAATTAACAGGATGTATTACTTTTAACATGCACTTTGATTTCAGCTACATTTAATTTTATTGCACAGTTTAGTAAAGGCTTGAAAGAAATAAACAAAAGCACATACATTATTATAGGATTATTTTCCTATATAGCCGAAAGACTGTACGAAAAAATTTAAAAAATGTTCTGAAGACTTGTAAATAGATTATAAGGTCAAACGTAATTAATCAGATTATAATTTTTTGGATGAAGTATTGTGCTTTTATTTATTGATATTAACTAACTAGTGTCAGCTAATTTTGTTTTCTAACATTATTTTCTTCTTCACAGAAATCTGCCAAATCTCTAGGCACAGTCTTAACCAGGAGTTTTTGTGTCATTTTTTAACAGAACTTGTTGCCAATTTCCAACACAATGCTTCCAATAAAAGTAGCAATAATACTAATACAATAGAAATCCATAAACGTAACAAATTAAAGACCTGTAAACAATCAGTGATAGGTACATCGACATTTGAAACCAGTAATCTTGAGCAACCAATAAGAAAACTTCTGAGGTTTGAAGATCAGAACTTCTCCACAAACTCTTTAATATCAAAAAGTGCTTCTAGCACTGTAATGACCACTGATGCGTACTCCGATTTGCATGAATCAATACAAGTCTGGAATGCAATTAGGGAATTTGATTGTGCATACTTTAATGATTTCAGTGATTATTCTAGGGAGATGAAGGACTGTAGTGATGATTGTGACATTGAAATCTCACCAATTGTGGCATCAGTTGCTGCTGAAGATATTTTTCCACCCTGCTTTTCTTCCTCAGCTTTTCCATCAAAGACTGTTCCAAACTTTCCAAACATTGGATCAAAAGGAACGGCAGACAAAAGGCTTCCACCACATTGTAATTCCATACTGATGAAATCATCAAAAAGAAAGCTTGCTGAGAAACCATTAAGATGCAGTTGGCATAAAGTTTCATCTAGAAAGCAGTTAGGTTCGCTCGTGCCTTATGGCCGTCTCACTTCTGAATCTGAGCTGACTAAACAAAATTTGTCATTTGTGGATAAACTTGAACACTGTAATATGACAGAAGTCTACCTAGCTAGTTTAGATCTAAATAGGTGTGAGGAATCATTAGAATATTCTCCATCACAAGAGAAAATAATTTGCTATCCAGTACGTCCTGTCTTCCGAAAGGTACAGCCATTATTTGGTGGCGCACCGCCACCAGAGAAACCAGAATCAATACCGAGATCAAACTCTCACAAAACTGATTTCCAAGATGATGTGTTGCTTCAGATGCCACAATTAGCAAATAAAATTGATCATCAGGATAAAGTTGAGGAGCAGATATCTACAAAAGAAAATAATCAATCTTCCAGTGACAGTAATGAGACTTTCAAGTTTGGGAAAGAACAAACAGATGATGAACCAGATAATCAGTTAGTGATAGTAGATGATAGTAATGGTTATGCCGGTCATGGTGACTCTTCTGATACTGGCTTAAACTCCTATTCTCCAACTGAAGAGAAAAAAGTGAGAGAGAACAGATACCGATCAAGACAAAGGAGAAATAAGAAAATGGCAGAGAACACGGATAAGTTCAGTAGGTCCAAATCACTTAACAATCTTCAATCTACTCGTCCTACATTCATTTACAAGAACTATGCTGCAGAGGTAAGAGATGCTGGATCTGGACAAACTAAACAAGAACACAAGAGTCTCATTGATTTTTTTAATTCCAAATCAGGTCTTTGTAAGCGGTCAAAATCACTTCCTGGCAATAGTATGATTTTTCCTTTTGATGATGACAACACCGATGGCTTGTCAGAGGTGAGTTTTACATCTGCAAAAATGTCTGTCATTGAAAGAGATCTTTCTGAAAGAACAACCTCAATTAATAATTTGAAAGATACATTTCAAAACAAAGAATCAAAGTCTTTAAAAAAAGGACCTGATGATCTTGGAAGACCCATTGGCAAGATTTGGGACCGTGAGGATACTGTAGATTACAAACCTACCAGAAATTCAAGGCAGTGGCTCAGAGAACTCAGTGAAATTGAGAGACAACGAACAAGAGACACATCCAAACATGATGCTAGTATGACTGTCACTAAAGCAGTGTGTGCTCCAGTGAAAAAGACACTTTCAAATGTTAATCCAATGTTTGGTGTTCATACAATGCTTTATCCAGATCCTCTTCATTTTGTAAGGCCAGAGCCAAGGTCACATCCAAATGTGAAAGTGAACAGCGATCCTAGACTCTCAGCTTTATCAGCAGCACCACCGATATTGAATACGCCAGGGAACCTGAAGAAGTCTAAGGAAGTTGAAGCAGACAACCCATTCAGGAATGAATTCTTAGAGTGTTCAAGTACAGACAAAGATAAGATTGCTACTGTTAAGGATGTTGATGCGATCATTGGTGGATATCAATTACAGAGAGAAGTCACCAGTGTTGATAAAATGCCGACAGATTCTGTTGCTGACTTGTGTCAACAGAAACATGCCGATATCGATCAGTTAAGTGATAAAAAGCATAAAGATGATAAACTTCTGCCACCTGAAATGGAAACACTGAGTGTACCATCAAGAGTAAAAGGAAAAACAAAAGATATAACACTGTCATTAGGTGGTCTCAACCTAGAAATCCAGTTGCAAGAAGCAGGTTTGTCCTCTGATAATGAAAGTTTTGCATCTGTCTTTTCAGAACAGAATTCTGCAACAAAATATATATCAAATAATGAAGAGCTAGTTGAAAGATCATCCATGGGAGCTTTAGAGAATGTCCCTGATAGATGTGTAGGAGAGATTTACCCAGATCATGTTTCTGCTAAAGGTAGGGTAGCGGAGGATGTTAGTAACCATAATTATTATAGTAAAAAGCCTTTAGATAAAAATCCTAATAAATACATTATTGAAGTTACAATGGAGAAATATGGTAGAGATAATCTAGATAGCAATAGCGAGAGGTTCACTGGTTACAATGGTAGCGGTCAAGGAATCAAAAGCAGACATCCAAACGATTATACTCCAGAGAGGGAGAGCAAACCAATTCCAAAGCCAAGAAATCTTGGTGTTCCCAAACCGCTGACTTCTACGCACAGGAATGAATCATTTGTCTCTGCCATGTCAAGTAACAGTGGTAGTGATTCCCTTAGTGGTCAATATCAGTCAAAGCAACTCTCAAATTCTAACCCTAACAGTTATCACCTAAAAAACAAAGATAATAAATATTCCACAGTTGATGATAGGTTTTTAAACCCTGGTCTTCAGAGGAGTAAGGTATATGATCTAAGGTATCTCACTCAGGAAGAACTTAGTATTGTCCCTTGGGTTGAAGATAAAGTGCATAGCTGGCATGAAAGAAATAGCCGAGTTCCTGGAACTACCTCATCAACATATCCAGATATACTCGAATTTTCTAATACGGAATCCCAATTTGATTCAGAAATTAGTTATAATAATACAAAAGCAGAACCTCATGTATACATGCAAAAAATTAAGTCTGTCCCACTCGATTTCAAAAGAAAACATAAGGCAAAACATAGATCTACACAGGATAAAACTTTAAAGAGAGAAGGAAGATTGAATGATACCAAAGATAATACGATGAGCAGACATCCCCATGACCGGAATGGAATGTCCGAAGTTGATCAGTCGTCTTATTCACCTGGATCGTACCATAGTGCTGGGAAGGAGTTGCCTACATCAACACAAGGTTTCAATGTTGATGGGTTTTTGGATTAAGCATGTTTTGTTGTCATTCACATCATTTTTGCATGGACCTTTAAAGGCTAGTATGGTTCTGCACAGGGGTACTAGACTTTATGGTCTCACATTCATTTCAAGCATGTTTAATTAATTTAATCTCTTAGAATACACTAAATAATCTCTCATTTTGAAAATGATTTTTCATTCATGCTGGTCACCTAATATTACCAAGCATAGATTCTAGATTGCATGTTAATTGATCCTATCAATAATACTTTCACATTCTCCATCGACCTTAACATTAAACAAGTATCAAACATGGATCAAAAATAATGGCCGGGCTCTTTAATACCTGGAGGAAGAATATGCCTATCTTCTTCATAATCATCATTACAGTCCAAACAATCACAGCCTGAGCCCGCACTGATAATGGCAAATCTAGAAAATTTACTTCTTTAACAGATGGCTACAAAGGCATCACAAGATCTGTTAGACCTGATTGCAAACCTAACACATATAATGACTTACGGTATTGAACTAAACAATAAGCATAATTTATTGCATATTGAAGAATACTATGAAACAGTCCAAGTCATTGTAAAACACATTATATCTTCTATGTTTCTTCTTTTTAGGGCTAACTTCATCAAAACTGAATTCTTTTGCCCTATTGCCCATTTCCTATCTGAACTTATAAACCATCTGAATATTTTTTGTTTATATTATTATTTTAAATATATTTTTATAAATAATTAATTTTTACTTATTTAATTAAAAAAACATTTCTTTATTTTTTTGAACTGTGACCCCTAACTTTTCTTAATAAATATTTTTTTTACTTTTTCAATTAATAAAAACTTCATTTCTTAACGTTAACCCAAACAATCCTCACTAGCTTTGAAATCTGATATGGACTTGCCAATACTGTACTTGCTCGTAATTACCTTGGATGGGACGTAAACCATCGTAAACATTGGTTCCCTCCGCGATAATAGCTCATGAACATGAAAAGAATTCATTATACTATTAAAAAAGTGATAGGTGTTCTCCAATACAGTTGCTTTTAAAAGGAGATATGTCAATAAAAAAAAAAATAGTCCAGTGTATACCATACATATAACCATTTGGAATACAAAAGACAATTACAAATCCTATTATTTGGCAAAACATACCAAAAGCAGCGCCGTTTGTACAGTATCATTGACACCAACATTTTAATCAATTTGATATAAATTGAATTTCATATGGAAGCCTAAGGCCCTAAGAATGAAGATAATTGGTTATGCTAAACAGCAGACTTCCAAATGTTATTATTTGCATATTATGTTGTTATCTGGTGAAGGCATAAAACAGCTTCAGTGTCTGTATCTTCTTTTTGAGATTTTGCAGTACTGTGTTTTCAACTCAGTACCAGCAGTGTATTGAGTATCTGACAATTTTATGGAATAGATAGCTTTAAAGCCAGGATCTGGAGGGAAACAATTGTTTGATTTATATTGTACAACTTGTTTGATTTATATTGTACAACTTATATTAGGCAACTTGATTGGCCGAGCGGTTAAGTCAGGGGCACCGCAACCTTCAGCTATAATATCGACGCTGGTTCGAACGGCTCACTCGCCAATGGTTCCGCCAGGGGGTTGCGCCAGGATTTGTGATTAAGTTCACTGATTGGCATATCCTTGGTGCTCGTGCCTAAAGAAATGAAATGAAATTAAACTCATTTTTCTAAGACACAGATAGAGTGTTTGACAAAAAAACTTGGGAACCGTTATGAGATACAGAATTTTGAACACTTAAAAACTGAGGGAAAAACGGGCATAACCACCCTTTTATCCACCACCTTTTCCCCCAGTTTTTAAATATTCAAAAATCCGTATCTCATAAACCGCTCCCGAGTGTTTCGTTATGCTTTTTGTGTCTTAAAAAAATAGTTGTAATATATCAATTTTTTTTCTCTCCGGAGCCTGTCGTTTTAACTTTAATTTCAAAATCATCTTTTGTTTTTGACCATTTGAATATTTTAGGGAGGTGAAGATTAAATAAAATGTTAAATGCAAATGCACTGCTAATCCTAAGGCACAAGTAAATTATTAAATGTAATTCAATATCCATTTAAAAGACAACATTTTTGGAAATAGTATTCAGTTGAATTGCACAATTTTTTATTAAATACAATTATTATTCAAGCTACAACTTCTACAGTTAGGTGTAGGGAAGATGTAGGGTTGCAAGAAATATCAACTACATAGTTTTATAAAAATTATGCTTGGCTGCATGTGTACTAAAAATACATTCAATTCACAACACCATTTTGAGTGAATATGTCTAATATTTGTTACATGTTTCTGGTTTATCTTTGCGTTTTGGAGTAGTGTGTGAACTATGATTGGATATTCTGTTATTGTTTGTTTATTTATAGATCACATCTTTTTAGCTAATGTTTGCAAATTCACTTAATATTTTCAATATTGGTTAATACACATTCTGTATGTTTACATTTATGTGATGCTTTAGTTATCTTAGTGATAATTCTTTACTTTTTATACATTCTTTTGGCCCACATAATATATAAATCAAATTTAATATTGCCCTTTCTGATTTTTCTTGGTTCTATTCAGGGCTAAAATGTTTAGCGTGAGTTATTGGATTTGACTAATTAATTAACTTTTGAACAATATACTACTAATACATTGTTGTTATATCTATGGATAATGTAATTTGATAAGAATCTTTTGGATATTTAGATAAGTGGCAGTCCAATGCAATCAAATAACTGAGTAAAACTTTGGTAGCCTAAAAATGGAATTATTAAATGAAAAGGGTAGAAATATGAAATTAGTTTTTTATATTATTCTCTATGAAAGACATTGATTCTAACCAAATTGGATAACTGTATTGATGTGATAAAGACACTATGAATGTCTGAAACTCAGCCCATAATCACTTTCTCTTATTTAAAATATACCATATATTCTTGTGTATAAGGCGATCAATGTATAACACACTATTTAGACAATGTTGGGCGTATAAGACAACCCCCCCCCCCAACTTCACTGTCAGAATTCCTACATTTTTCTGTCTTGATATTGTATCTAGCTGGCTAAAAACGAAGCCAAATGTAGGGCTAATCTCTCTACATCACTGAGGGGCAATAGATTTCACCGTTCTCCGAAACTAGAGCAGTCATTATTTGTTTTATATACCTCGTACATAGATTCTACGAGGCCTAAAAAAGTACTTACTGCCTAGCCTAGAGGCATACTAACTAGGACCTACGGCCGTCCCATGGTTAAACAACGTAACTGCTATTATGGTTTTATTAAGTTACGTTGTGTTGCCTTGGAGATCAAAGAGTGCTCATTTCCTCAATTTCTACCCATTGTCTTGCAATATTTGTCAACTATTGACATGACATATTAAATAAATTTGTCTTTTGGTGCTTTTGCTATCGGCTTCATCAAGAAGTATAATAGGCCTAGGCTAGTCCTTTTTTCATCCAGTAGCTCAAACTGACAGCCTCCATAATTATTGTTTATCGTCTACTTGCTGATCCATGACACGGTCAAGGGTCAGTCTCTCGTCGTAGAAGTCACAGTCCTCTGTCGGCCGTCCCAAGGCAAAACAACGTAATTGACATTTTTGTCGATTTTGAGATATCATCATTTGGGAGTATATTAAACACGTCTGAATGAACTGTGAAAATTTCAAGTCTAAAAAAAGGAGTCGTTTTGCACCACCTATCTTTAAGCACAAAAATTAAAATCGAGTGATTTTCAATAACAAACGTAACTAAGATTACTCGCCAAAACAACGTATCTGCGATGAAGATACATTGTTTTGCCACGGAATGTTATTCAAAAATTGTCTTGAGTCGATGGAATTTGGCAGGGCAAAAAATCAAATGGTTATTGGTGTTTTAATATCAAAAATCTTAACAGCGATGTATGAACAACCTAGGTTATGCATATGATTGCCCCAAACTTAATAAATTCTAAAAATATGTTGCACTTGCTACAATACCGAGCCTAACATGTTTCCGAGGCAAAAAAACATATCTGTAATTATCGCTAATAACTTTGCAATGAACAAAAACGGTTGTAATTAAAATTTTTCATATAATCACAGTGTCTATAGATATATAATCTTGCAAAATTTCAAAAGGCTACGACAATTTATTGCAAAGTTACAAACACACAAACTTTAACTCTATTCTTCTCCAATTTGAAAATTTCAAGTTACGTTGTTTTGCCACGGACTGGCCGTGCTACCTGCTACCATCATTGCGATGGTAGGGCCTAGAGTTCGCACCGTGCGAGAGGTAAAAAAAAGTACTATTTTTCAGGGGAATAGTACTTTTTGAGTGGAATAGTACTTTCTATTGCCCACTTCTTCAGATGCCTAGAATTTATGTATGAGGTATATGATATTATTTATTGGCCTTGTATGCTTTCCACATTATTATTCTAAAAAAAAAACTTCTGTGATTTGTCCATATATGGACATGTTGGTGTCCTATCACATCCACATGATTTTTCAACAGGATGATTGAAATGGTTAGTGCGGGCTCAGGCTGAAACCTATTGGACTGCCACTTGTAAACAATGAACCATATCATTTGCAATTTTATATTAAGTTCTTTACTAATGAATGCAAGTAAATATTTATGTCATTTATTCAACATTACATTTAATATTGTTGTTGATTCGTACAGTTTTGTATATTTATTAATATAGGTATCATCTTCATTACTTGGTATTCATCATTGAAAATTAAATTACATTTGATAAAATAGCAGAATAGTTTATTACCTTTAGCATAATTTATTTTAATGCATATGTATTTTTAAAATTGCATATTTTGTTGCAGAATAGTGTAATAATTACTTGCATTATACCACCATTTTATTTTAAGTGATTTTTCTCACTTTTTTTTTCACTTGAATTATTGGTATTGATTTGCATATTAATGACATTATGCAAAGTGTCACTGACTCATTTGCATGATATGCAAATGTATAACATATCTACTTGTTGCATGTTGTGTCTAAACTCCTCCTTCTCTTTCCATCATCTTTGCGTCAAATAGAAATTCAACAACCTATTAACTCGAACATCGCTAAAAGCCCGACCACCAAGTTGCCCAAGCCGCGTTCTTTATCTAGCAGTAGTGGAGGAGTATCAGCAGCGGAGCAGCTCAACGTTGTGTCAGCACCGCCACAGCGACCGCCACAAGGTTTTATTCCGGTTTCATTTTAATTCCTGTTGTGTTTTTTTGATTGGTGTGGTATTTTTGGTGGTTGCTTCTGTGTTCTCACATTTAACATTATCGTTTCGTCAGCTTCGTTTCTCCCTGCCTCATGCTTCTAACATTCATTTTGTCTTTGTGTATATTCATTAAATCTAACATAATTCCATTTTATAATTTTCTGAACAATTGTTGAAGACAGTATTTGATTTTTTTGTTTTGTTCACATTTTTAAGTTTGAACAGGTTCCAAAATACAGTTACTTCTTGATTCTTAATTGTGTTTATTTTGAAGATTTTTTGTAATTGTCGTAATTCGCTGTGTTAAGTTTCCCACATATTTTTGTATGCATTTCTAATAAACTATTGACATGCTTTTTATCAACCATGGTTTTCTATAGAATGTAATTTGTTTAATTTGGTTTGATATTTGATATAATTTATATTATAATTCATGTTTGATTCTATATATCCCAATGAGAATATTTAAATTTGTTTTTCCATTTGAATTTAAATTATTTCGTTCACAAATTGTAAAAACTAACTTGTGTGTTTGACCTTTTGCTTGCGAAATTTCAATCATGTTCTGTGCAGGTTGGAAATTGCAATTTGATCTCACTGGTGAGTTGGCGTTTGATTCACGGAAGACTGTTATTAAATCCTACTTAGAGAGACTTTAGTAGTTGTAACTGTTGCATAAAGAATTCCGTGTACAAAAATGAACTGAAATAAACTAATAAATGGGATTTTGTGCTTAGACAAGACTTTTTTATACCTTGTTTCGCGAAGTTATTTTTTTTAAAGATCGTAAGTGGAAGGCGGGAAAAAAAAAATTAAAATAAAATTTTGTTTTCATTTTTAGCAAACGGTTTTGCTAAGAAACATCCAGACGGAGGAGAAAATAAAAATATATTTATTGTTGAATGTATACAGTGTGGGATGGTTAAATGCTTTAAATTTATGTAATATAGGAAGAATTTTTTGGAGATTTCAAGGCAGCGGCGGGCGTAATAAGAATAAAGAAAAACTTTTATTTTTTTCTGAAATTTCCATTTTTTCATCGTGGCATGTGTGCTAATTGGCCAAAAATTTAATTTCATTTTTATTTGAAGTCATCATTATTTGCGGGCAGCGGATTTTTTTTGCTAAACAAGGTGTGAAAAAAATCTTTCTTTATGTCAAATAAAAAAGAATAGACTTAAGTCTTTCTAGATAATAGCTAAAATATATTAAGAGCGGTTGAGTTTTCCAAGTTCAATAACCAACCATGCTAGTTTTGAAAAAAGAGTAGTAGTAATAGTTCAATTTAGGATTAGGTTTTTCTATATTGAGAGTAATGTTATTAAGTTAAGTTTTTCAATTTTCCCTTTTACAAATGCGTAGAGGCTGCGACAGTTGTTCTTATTAAGTTCAACGTTTTTTTCTTAGACTGTCGGTCAATAAACCTTAGTCGGAAGTTGATTATTATTATTACTGTCAGATACATTAAATATCAAAAGAATCTTCTACCCACAATAATTGAAAGCCCATACATCCAGTATTTATGTATTATGATAGCATTTATTCACAAAGATAAACAAGCACACTCTTAATTAAAGCGTTATTTATCCCACATGATGCCCTTCATCGTTGCTCCTAGATCCGTAATCGTGATGTGCATGACAGATCGGACAATAGCATAATGGATTGTCTTTGAATTGTCTTAAAATTTTTTCATTGATTATCATTATTTTTTTGGTCGTAAGTTTGAAAGTTTATTTTGTTTGTAAACTACAGAAAAGTTAAAAAACAGGCCCTTACTCTAGAAAGAAATTTATAATCATTAATTATTACTTAATTGTATTTTCATGGTAGAAATCTATAGAAAAAACATGTATGGATAGAAAAGCATACTGTAGCATCATTTATTAATTCTAGATTCACAAAATTCACTTTAATGATATTTATAAAATGTGCAGGTTACCATTATGAATATTTTATTAGAGCTTCATGCATATTACATAATTTCTTTAGGCTAAGTTATGAATCTTCATCAGACTATAAGGCCAAATGAAATTAATTGTTAGTTTCTTGTCCAGGATTTGAAATATTTTTTAGTAGGGGTATTTACTATTTGCTTTTTACCATCCTATATACTGTACTAATGGTAAATAGTCTGGTAAATAGTAAAAATAGTTTTTTTTTTTTTATAAAAGTAAAATGAATCTTTGCAATGTTTCTGCCATTTATGTTCCCACTTCTTCTTAGGCTTGACATCATTCTTTCAGATAGTCATTATTTTTATTGTCCATGGAAAAATTAATGTTTTTTTGAAAAATAGCAAATAGTAAAGTTTTTTCATGAGGCTCCAAAATTTGATGAAGGGTGGGTACATGAAACTAGCAAATTTATTTGGCCCAATAGAAGATTGCTTTATAGACACAGAACTACCTTTAGGCTATCCGGTTTTTTTTTTGTTTTTTTTTGTAGATTTCCTTTCCATAATGACAGATTATGAAAATTTCTGATATTTACATCTTAAATATCAAAGTCAAGCTTTATTCATGTTTGAGTATTTCATGTCTTAAATAAATAATTGTGGCCGCCTCTCATCAGTATTAATGGTAACATTGATCATCCTTAATATACCAAGATAAAAACTAATGAAGAAAACGATACTGCTATATAAAATCCAAAACAAGATCACACCACACCACCCAAATCATCGGTTTGAAATCTAAATTATAATATCAAATTCTGGCTGGTATGAGTAAGTAGCGATAATGATTGATGTTGTGGCCTCGGTGTACCACTAGCAGCGTGCTTAATGATATGTTGTCTATTAGCTCATTATTGATCAGATTGCAACATTGAATTACTCATTCAAATGATCAAATATTTTAACTACCTTTTACTTATCTTTTTCGGGGCAAGTGTCTCATAACGCCGGGCACTTACTGCATCGTACGACAGTTGCCCTATTCTGGCTATTGAGGCTTATTTCTCAATAAAGTGCGGTGCGAGTTTACAGCCCTTTTATGAGCTTGGGTCACAAATATTGATATCAATTTCTGATTCTAATTTTTTTAACTTATTTATAATTATATATTTATTTTTTACTTTATTTACTGTATTTATTTATTTATTTTATTTATTTATTCAAGACCCAACAGTGTGTCAAACACAAAAAACAGGGTCGCCATAAAAATACAATATGATATAAAAAAAAAATATATGCCTATGATTAAAAATATACATAAAATAGCATAAAAATTCATTTTTACATATTAAATAATAAGGATTACTTTAAAGGTAGAAATATTACAAATTTTACAAATATCGATATTTGGAAACACTTGTCCTAAATTATTGTGCGAAAAAAGAGCAACACGACGAAAAATACTATTTTTACAAACTTAACACAGAAATACTGAACTTTTAACAAAATGATACGAAGCTTACGCACAGGAACATGAAAATAAAAATTTGACACATGGTTACAATCAAACTTAATATAAATTAATGTGTGTGTATTTTCCTATTGTCCTTGCCAGCTTAGTTTATTGTTTGTATTTTCCATACATTCTGTCTTCATTTTCTGTACTTTTTGGCTTAATAAATAGTGAGTGGATGAATTGATCACTGGATCTATTAATCAGTTGAATAATTAATGAATTGATTAATGGATAGTTGCTATTAAAAATGCATGAGATCAGCAGAATTTGTGAAGTTATTATTGAACAGATACGTCAGAATATTTGAAAGGCATACAGTATATACTTTACTGTACTTCGAGGAAATTATGGCTAAATTTGAGTGGTATCGGTTAAGAGAAACTGTATGGTAAATCATGCCTTTAGGATACTATGTAAATTTAGGAGTTCCATATTTCAAATCTAGCTGTAATATGAACGATTCTGATTATCGTGTGTTTACATCCCCATCAGCTAACCACATGACAAAAATATGCTTCACAACTATGCAGGTCTGCATATTCACTTCCATTTTAAGATCCTGGAAATATCAAAATATTTAGTGTGATGTGATGATCATAATTATAAATATGTATAAATATTGAGAAAGTGTTATATTAAATAATATTTCATTTGTAAATACCTTTAATTTCTGTTGTAAAGTGATTAAAATCTTTTGAAATATGTGTTTATCAAATAAAATTACGAAATGGAGGGTTTGTGTGGGCACTGTATATATGAAACAATAATTGTCCTCAGTTGGTGCCATCATTGTATGCAAGTTCTTTGTGATTGTCTCATATACTAATTTGGAGCAGGTGCATCCCCACATATTACTGTATTAATTCTATACAAAGTATCTAGGCCTTAATCATAATCAATTTATGTGTATTATATCTTTTATCAAAGTAGATGTTTAGTTTAACTTTAATTTTTTGATTCATATTCAGAGTTCCTTTTAATTATCATACACAGTAATTTTTTAAAATCTGGGTTGATGAGACATTAATTTTCATAGTACTATACTTGTAATAAATTCTCATTCAAATAAAGTTGTTTCAAAATATTTACTACTTGATTAGAAATGTCACATGGCCATTTGCACAGCTAATTTAATTGGTTAAAAAATTCAATGGAAAAATCATTGATGCACACAGATCAAAGCAATTTTAGTTTTTGCTCATTTACATACTTTTTACTATGTTTATTTCGATTAATATTAGCATAACAGAGATGAATGATAGTGTGTATGTTTAGTTGATTGACAAGTAATTTATCTTTAATTAAAATACAAATTCTAGCAATTCAAATATTGAACCTCATTTTATGAGTTTATGTGCTCGCAGGGAGTATAACTTTATTTAAAAAAAGATTATTAATTTTAATCATTGTGTTTGAATGAATGACAATTGGTACTATGATTCTATGATGATATATAAAGTACTACACTAAAGCTAGAGACAGATGCATGATTAGAAATATCAATATCAAAATGCGTAACACAGTATTTAGTATAGTAGTTATATGGGTTAATTAA